AAACCAAACAACTTGAACAACTAATAATTGAAGAATAACAGTTCTAGAACAAAAAATCGTACTAATACATGTATACACCAACACAAATAAACAATAAAAAAATAAATCAATACATAAATAAATAAATACATACATAAATAAATAAATAAATAAATAAACGCAGAACTGAAATGTACAAATAATTAAACTAACATGAAAAAATATATATCTCATGAACAAATAACCAAACAAACAGACCCATAATATAAATAAATGAAAGTAAATGAATTAAATAAATACACATACATAAATAATAAAAGCAAAACTAAATGAAAGAAAGAATAATTAAATAAATATAGAAATAAATATCAACAAATAAACAAAACACACCTGATAAATAAATAAGCAATAAAAAAATAAATCAATACATAAATAAATAAATAAATACATAAATGATAACATAAATAAATAAATATATAGATAAATAAAAGCAAAAGTGAAATGTACAAATAATTAAATAGACATGAAAAAATATATATGAACAAATAACCAAACAAACAGACCCATAATATAAATAAATGAAAATAAATACATTAAATAAATACACACGCAGAAATAATAAAAGCAAAACTAAATGAAAGAAAGAATAATTAAATAAATAAACAAAACACGTGATAAAAATAAACAAAAATAAATATGTACATACATAAATTATAAATAAATATAAGCAAACTAAACATAATTAAATAAATAAAGATGAACAAATAAAGAAACAAACATACGCAATCACGTGACATAGCGCGATATGGTCCAGTCCACATGATAATTGATAACTGTGGACGTTATTTGTCGACACTTGACAACAGACAACATTAAAAAAAAAAACCCGTTACACGATACCATAACACCTTGACTAAAGTCTTCGGTGTAATGATGCTCGTTTTCGTCACAGACTAAACCAACTCGTCCCCGTCCTCTCCATTGGTTAGTACCCCTTCGGATTCCTCTACATGTTCGTTCAAAATGTCCCAGTTTTCGGCACGAGTTACATGTGGCTCTTTTCGCAGGGCAGTTGGCAATATGATCAAGAGTAAAATTCGGTGCGTCACAATTATAGCACCTACGGTTATTTCCGCTCCCCCACTACTTGATCCTTGGGAGTATCCTCCACGTCCCCCGCGTCCTCGACCTCGGAAAAATCTTTGTCCTCTCCTTATGTTATTAACTGGTTCTTGTTTAATAGATATTGACGGCGCTGATGAAGCCGGTTTTCCCGTGTATGATTAATATGCACGCTCCCCACGTTCATAAGATAATGCGATCCTGTCAACTTCCTCGGGTAGCTTTGTTGATCTTGATAATTCTCGTTGACAGTCCGATTCCCGCATGTTCATTATGAAAATATCCCGGACGTTTTCCGCTGCATTAGCAAAATTTCATCTACCCGCTAGGGTGCTCAATTCCGCGTGGAATTTCTCAAAGGTTTCGTTCTCCCTCTGTTTTCTTCCACAGAAGAGTCCCCGCTCATGGGTTACGTTCCGCTCACGTCGAAACACATTTTCCATTTCGTCAAGTACGCGTGGGTAACGTTCCGTTTTTATGTTCACTCCCAGCTTTCGTGCTTTGAAAATTCTCTGCGCCTCATCTCCAATACAGAGATAAAGGTTTGACTTTAGCTTCTTTTCCGACTCGGTACGGTTCTTCCCATTTACGTCATCTGGCAACGCTGCAATAGTCGCTGCGTTTAAAGTACGTACAAAATAAAAATCATCGGGATCAATATCATATTTTGCGATCATTGCCCAGTGAAATTTTACAATCGATTCTTCCCAGTAGATTGGGGGTTCTGGTGTTCGTGCGTCCCAAAATGACTGAATTTTCAGTGGATTTTTCCCCCTCCTTTTTTCTCTGCTGACTGCGCCATGTTAAAGTGTGCAGATGTTTATGTAAAGAAAAGAATAGTTGTTAACTTGAATTGTAGCAACTGTTGGGCATTAAATCGAAATCTTACTGCACTGTTTTATTTCAGATCAGTTCGGACGTTGAAGATCGCAAGGTCACGACAGCAGGTCTCCAGACAGAAAGAAAACAATTGATAGCACTTACATAAACTTAAACTGGTCCCTATCTCAATAACAACTGGAATTGTTCCATTTTCTTCCACCCTCACAAGCTCTGGAAAAATAGAGTTTTTGATGTGGGCTTTGTACTTGTCGCCGTTCAAAGTCAATACGTTTTTGTTAGTCACCTGTTATCAAAGCAAAACGATTTTGTATTCTGTAAGGGGAATGGTCCAGACCTACTTTTGTAATTCGATTGAACGTAGATGTGGGTGTTACAGTTCCAGTTTTCAGCGCAGAAGTTTCTGTTTGGCAACAACAGCTTGTCAAACAGCAAAAAATTTTGCATAACTTCTGGCCAATTTTGGTCTCCCAGAGTTAACTTCTTTCAGGTTTTGACTGGTTCCTTTTTCTTGGTATTTTTTGTAATTCTTATCCACTCGAGATATGTTGGAGGGACAGATATGGGACCGATGAGCGAATTGACGAATAGTCTCATCTGTTTGTTTTGTACTGGCAACGTTAAAACATAAAGACTCGCTGCTCGATTCTAAACTGCATCACTTTTACAAGTGAGAAGCATGAACAACTCAATGCAGTTTGATTGCGGCGTGAAATATTGCGGTAACTTTTTTGAGCGTTATCATTTTTCAGAAAACATTTGTCACAGGCTGCTAAATGTACGTTCCAAATCTCATAAAAGTTGATTAAGTATTTAAAGCATAGTTCCAGTTGGAATCCTGTTTTATGGGACACCCTATTTAGGTATATGAAAAACTTCTTTTCAAATTTTCTTTCTCTTCTCGAAATAGGAAAACTGTAGGAATGACCATCATTGACTCGATGCAGGATACGATTGTTTTGAACACAACAATTTGATCAACTAAAAACCACGAGAGTTGATACAGATTTCTGTGCAACAAAAAAAGTTTTGAATGTCACAATTGAGCGAGCAGAAATATAAAATCTGAAGACGAAAAATAAGAAGAAAGCGAAAAAGAAGACGAGAAAGACGATGAAATTGAATAAGAAGGAGAAAAAGACGACAAAAAAAGAACCAGAAGAGGAAAAAAACAAAGAAGAGGAAAATAGGACAAAAAAAACAAAGAAGAAAGAAAAAAAAATGAAAGAAATCTGGGTTGAGTTTCCATTGCAAATTAGCGATAAACGTTTGAAAAACAGTGATTACCATCAAAAATAGCGCTAAGCATTTACCCAAATAGCAAGTTTCAGTGCTGAGCTAGCATTAACTCAGAGCTGAAAAGTTCGAACGTTTCCGCGATGAATTAGCGGGGAATTATCGTTGGTTTTTTAGCGATGAATTAGCAAGTTAGAATACTTGAATACTTTCCCCCTCTCTGTTTCCCCCTCCCCCTGTTTCTTTACGATAGTAAATGTGGGGGTTTGGTTTGGGGGGTTGGTAAAAGAAACTTGAGGGTATAAATGGAATGCCCCCAGAAGTGTGGAGTTGTCCCCACGTTCATCCTCTGCCCTAACTCCGAATTAGATCCGTAAATCGAAAGTAAGCCTAAAAATATGAAAAAAAAACTAAAATTCAAAAACGAATGTTCTGATAAATTAAATGTTTTGATAAAATAAATCGTTCTGATCGATGATTGGAAGAAAATAACAAGATGCTTATAATTTTCGTAGTTTTATTTATTTAGCACTGAATCCGTGAGGTTTGGCGATGAATCGGGTATGAATTAGCGGTGAATTAGCGGTGAATTAGCGATGATTTTTTTGCGATCAATTAGCGATTTCATATTGCCAATTTTCTTTGTTTTCCAGCTTTAAATCATCAAAAATCATAGTTTTTTCATCTATGCTCATCGATTAAAAAACCCTTCTTCATCGGTCTAAGAAATAACACGGAATCGCCTATAAAAATGGTATTAGAACTGTATTAGCAACTTTTCATCAATGGTTATTACTGGGGGCTCAACTCGTGAGAAGAAGAAGAAGAAGACGAAGACGGAGAAGAAAGAAGTAGAAGAAAAAAATGGAAGAAGAATTGGATCTACTTAAAAGTTTCCACGCCTTTCAAGAAAGGGAGAGATTGTTAAGTAGATCAAAATTGTCGATTTTCGACCTGTCAGAATGCAGCAAAATTAAAATTCTCAATACAATGCACTAGAGCTAAATTACTGTTTTTATGGGGGGGGGGGGAGAGATTGTTAAGTAAGATCAAAATTTTCGATTTATCGACCTGTCAGAATGCAGCAAAATTAAAATTCTCAATACAATGCACTAGAGCTAAATTACTGTTTTTATGGGGGGGGGGGGGGGGGAGAGATTGTTAAGTAGATCAAAATTTTCGATTTATCGACCTATCAGAATGCAGCAAAATTAAAATTCTCAATACAATGCACTAGAGCTAAATTACTGTTTTTATGGGGGGGGGGGGAGAGATTGTTAAGTAAGATCAAAATTTTCGATTTATCGACCTGTCAGAATGCAGCAAAATTAAAATTCTCAATACAATGCACTAGAGCTAAATTACTGTTTTTATGGGGGGGGGGGGGAGAGATTGTTAAGTAGATCAAAATTTTCGATTTATCGACCTATCAGAATGCAGCAAAATTAAAATTCTCAATACAATGCACTAGAGCTAAATTACTGTTTTTATGGGGGGGGGGAGAGATTGTTAAGTAAGATCAAAATTTTCGATTTATCGACCTGTCAGAATGCAGCAAAATTAAAATTCTCAATACAATGCACTAGAGCTAAATTACTGTTTTTATGGGGGGGGGGGAGAGATTGTTAAGTAGATCAAAATTTTCGATTTATCGACCTATCAGAATGCAGCAAAATTAAAATTCTCAATACAATGCACTAGCGCTAATTTACTGTTTTTATGGGGGGGAGAGATTGTTAAGTAGATCCAAAGAATTATATAAAGACTGAGTTTAGCGCAAAAGTCTTGACCAATTGAACAAAAAGAAGTTAAATGTGAAGCACCTGTGTGGTCCGCATATGTGTCTGCAAAACATAGTAGTGTCCTCGGATACAGTGTAGACCAGCTCCCCCTGTTCATTCAACACATGGTAATTCATGCCCGCCCCACAACACATCTCCCGACTCTCAAGAGTAGTTCGCACATTCAGGTAGTCCTAACAAACCCTCTCGCTCTTTTCTAGTCGACCCTACTCCTTAAAGTCTAATTTGAGGCTTCTATGATGGAATACGGACCGAAGGCGCAAAAAATTTCAACCAATGAGCGTCCTTCAAGCTTAATTTCCGGTCTACTTCTTTCGTGTTTTCAAACACTGAATTCTGATTGTGGGCTAATATAATTGTCGGATGTATTATTGTTCCGACTTTGGATGAAAGTGCGGAATATCTATGCTTGGTGTGGTTTTCTTCATTCAGCCAATTTTCGACTGAAAATCTAAGCGTTTTCGGCGGATTTTTTTAACCATCTGCCTTCTGAGAGATATTGGTATTTTAAACTCAAATTCAAAAAAAATATATTTTACCTGTAATCATTTTTCGTAAAGTTGCGGGTGTTTGAAAATTGCTGATTTGGCTAATTTGAGATAACTAAAGTGCGATAATTCGAGTACTCATAACACGCGTAAGAAGCAAACAAAACCACTCGTGTATCAGGGCAAAGCTTGAATGTTCCGACTTCACTTAGTACCATTTGAAAAATTTTCTTTTTGTTTGAATTATTGAAAAATTATTTGAGACGAAAAGAAGAACTTTTTTCTGAATTTATCCCCCACACGCTATGTAAAATATTGAGGGTGTGTTTAACGTCTTCGTATTGTGATAATAGGATTAGATTTCTGGCTTCAAGTCAATTAGGAACGCATTAATTCGTTTCTTACGAGTGTTACTATTACGCGATATATCGCATTTTAGTGAGCCCAAATCGGCTAAATCAGCAGTTGTCTAACGCCCGTAATTTTACGAAAAAAGATCACAGATGAAATATATTTTCATATTTGAGCTTAGAATAACAATATCTGTCAGATGGTACAGAAAATTCCGTCAAAAAAGCTTGGATAACAAGTCAAAAATTGACTGAATAAAAAACAAGAGTGCTTGTATATCAGGGGAAAGCCCTGAATGTTCTGACTGTCTTTTAATGCATACCGAATAATTTTGGAGAAAAAAAAATTGAAAATCTATAAACTTGGGAAGAGATCAAAGTGCAAAAGTTTGATTCGTACAAAGTTAATACGACCGATTAGCTAGCCTCAAGTCAATTTGCAACGATTTTATTTTGCAAGATAAAACGCCATTATGAATAAACTCTTCAAAGCGCGCGTAGTTTAGTCCAAAACATGGCCAATATCGCACTTTTCAAGCCCCCAGAACTTTACAACAAATAATCGGAGGAAAAACATCTTTTTAAATTTGAACGTAGGAAGTCGATATCTTCAATGGGGTAGGGTATAAAAATTGTTTTAATTCTATTTTCCGATAGGCGTAAATTGACTGAATAAAAAAACCCACACCGAGCATAAATATTCTCGAAAATCGGAACATTGATGCATTGCAAATTGAATTGAGGCCAAAAATTTAACCCCATTATTACAATATTAAAACGCTAAACACAACCTCAGTATTTTACATAGCGTGTGGGGTGATAAAATGAAGAAAAAATGAAAAAAAAAATCTTTTTTTTTTCAATTAATTTGTCAATTATTCAACAAAAAAAAACTTTTCAATTGGCCTAAAAAGCAGTCGGAACATTCAGGGCTTTGCACTGATATGCGAGCAGTCTTGTTTTGGTCTATTCTGATCTGAGATATTTAAACGACGTGCAGCTAGAAATTATCAGTTGTGTACGAACTGCAGTTCGTATTAGAGGTAATTAGTTTCAAATTCAAATGAGCAATCATATTTTTTGAACGCTTAAACCGAAAAACGGTATTTGAAATGTCAGCACTAGTTCGAGACGTTTCTCTTTTGATGCAAGATTGTTGCGACTCTGCTCGAAACTTCTAACTACGCTCTATTTTAATTTTTCGAGAGCTTTCGCCCTCATAAACGCTTGAAACACAGCTGAGTTATAAACTTCGAGCAGAGTCGAGACCATTTCAATGGTTTGTGAGTGCTAAGGGGGAGTAGAGGAACTAGAAAATAGCCTGGTCAGTGAGTTGCTGGAATCCTGAAGGCAGTCCAGGCTGGTCCGGAAGTTGTTCACACCACTGCAAGTCTTCAGGGCCACTGTCAAGCTCAGTGTGCGTCTGAAATATAGATCAAAGCTTAAAATACAGATCTTTTATCAGTCCAATAATCAAAAGTACACATGTAATAATATACGTTTAGATAATCACATTCGACAAGGATCCAACATGGTCTAACAAGCTTTTATAGTTTGAGTCCTAGTCACCTGGATGGAAGCATAATTTTAAAGTAGGAAATTGAAAAAAGATAATCTTTTTATTTGTTCTTCTTTATGATCTTTTATTATAAGTTTTTGCAATCATTTCAACGAGCTGAATACATTATCAATAATTAACCGTTCTATTTCTGCTGCGCCAGATTCAGCATTTAAAGCCCAGTTATAATTTTTTAAGAAATAACCCTTGAGCCTTGTATGCCAAGGTTAAGTTGGTTCGCTTTCCATCATGCAAGCATCAATGAGACGCATGGGGACAAATTATTGAAAAAATAAAAAACACTTAGCACCTTGACAACAACAAAAAGTAATAATGGTGTTCTTATTTATCGCTTACAGAAATATTTTTTCTCCTGAAAAAAAAATGCGTTTAGCAATCTCCGCTGTTACTGCTCAGTTTTCGCTAGCCAAGTGAACAATGAACAACCAAGATCAAAATTCCCCTGCTTTTCCCCCGTGTTTTTGATTTGCTTGCGGGTAAAGTACATAGTCTTCACAGTTTTTTTGAGAGAGCTCAAAACATCAATTGGATAGTCCTAGCAAAAATGTATCAACAATTTTTTCAATGAAAATCCACCTTGATAAATACCAGTAATAGTTTGATGTTGTTTTCAATAACATTTCGGGATACAATTTTGTTTTCGTTTTTGATAATTATTAAATAATTCCTCGCTATTGCAAAAAGCGGTGGCGTGACTCATTCATTGCAAGCCGTTTAATTAGTCTTACGGTTTGCAATTTGATACAAGGTACAATAAGTATGGGTGAGTATAGTTAACAAGGTTTTCAAACTTATTGCAACTTGACCTTCAAAAATCAAGTAAAGGGTATTACTTCTCAGCTGTTAGGGTATTAAACCGCTAAACTATCTCTACTAAATGAGTCGAATAAATTTAGTAGTCGAGTAAGAGGTTATAGAATAAGAGATTGATTATAGAGAAGGGATGTTATTATTTGTTCTGTTAATCGACGCAGTTACTCACCTCTCTCGTCACAATCTGGGTGGCCGAGGCTGCACTGGCTAATGATGAAGCAGTATCCGGTCTGTGTGAGTGCTCCGATCCTCCGCTCGTTGTATTCATCACAATCACCCTTTTCCACAAAACTTAACAGTCAAAAAATTATTATAATATTTATTGGTAAATTGTAAAATCGCTTAATTATCTCTTCTAAACGAGTCGAATAAATTTATGTTTTAAAACCAATTATAAGTGTAGCGTATTAGTGCAAGTATAATTGGTCAATTTAGATGAAAACTGTGCAAATGTTTTATTTTTTTTCCAGTAAAAAATACTCTGCGCTTTAAGTAAAATTCATTCAGAAATTTTGGCCACGTGATAAAATTAATTATATATGTTTTGGCAAAACCACACTTCAATTTTATTAGATTTAATAAAAATAAAAAGTAGAAAAAAGACCTTGCTTCCTTCAAAAATTGGAACAAAAAGTAATTTGAGTGTGATAACTGTTTGTTTTTTTCTCAGTTATTAAACCGTATTCATTTGAAGTCTTTGTTAGGACCAAACATCACAAAGATTTTGGTGTTCGAAAAGCCATCCCCTCAGTCTGTTCTCCTCATCCGTAAACCATATTTTGGTGGGGAGTCCGACTGAAGCGTCTTCCCGGATACCCGAGGGGGCAAACAAAGCATGCAGGTCTATGATACAGCTTGCTTAAATTTTCGCCCTAACTGGGAGGGGGTAATCCTCGAGGCAAGAGGACCGAATGCACTGGTATGAGTATTGACACAGAAAGATCTAAAACATTCTGGAAGGAGCGCGGGTTGAAAAAAAATCGAAAATTTTTGTCGGCTTTTGTTTTGTCGACCAAAATGAAATTCCTAGCTCTCCCTAAACAACAAAAGACCTCAAAGTCTGGCCCAAATTTTCGGCGCCGCTGCCGCCTTCTTATAAAAGCAAGCAGAAATGCATTTTTGAGAACTTTTTGGAAGGTTTTTTGAGACCAAGTTCGCATCAGGTTTTAACCAAGCAGCAATCAGGATTGAACTTTCGAAGTAAATCAGAGAATTTCTAAGAAACTATATTGGTCCACAGCATTTAAAAGAGTATACCCCGAGCAAAAGATCAGCAGACAAGACTAATCTATTTAAAAATCTCTCAACCCCCTCCCTCATTCAAGAAAGGGGGAGATTGTTGAGTAGATTAAATCAGCGAGTTTTCGACCAATCAGAATGTAGCACTATTAAATTTTTCACTAGAAAGCCCTAGTGTACTGCTTTTACTTACATAGAGCACTCCACTCCGCTGCTTAATCGGCAAAAAACATATTTTTTGCGCGAGTCAGAGCTGGCTGTACTTCGTTTCAACTTTGAGCTAATTTTCCGGTTATCTAGAGCATAATCTCTTTTCGAGTATCAGTGCATGCAGTTGAATGGGTATTCCCCATGAAAATAGTTTAGTCAGATTTACATCTGACCTATCAATTTCAGCGTTACACTTTAAGTTTTTCGATAAAAATTGTTGCAAAATAACATGCAACAAAATGGGGCCGTCTCTTCTGATGGAGAGACCGAATGATGGAATATTTTCTCAGCCAATCAGATTTAGTCATATATAGAGTTTATGCTAGTGTGAGTTCAGTCCTTGGTGTTGACCTTTTTTGCCTTTGGTGCTGAATGATTGGTACCCGTCAACAACCATGACTTCAACCCGATGGTGCTAAAACAGTGAATGAGATTTATAGCCGAACAACGGAGTACTTATTTATTTTTAGATTAGTACAATTTTCGTTAACCTGATGAGCATTTTTCATAAACTATGTAATAAAACACTTGAAAACTTCAAACTAAGCGAAGAAACCCAGGACAATAAAATTCAAATTGATCAATTCAAAACATGCACACAAATGATTGTTCGAATATTGTCAGATCTAAAATACATTGGAAAAAATTTTACTCTAAAAGATACCTATTTTACTTTTAAATTGAAAAAACAAAATAACATATTTATTCCATACATGCACAATTTGTACAGCAAAGCTTGGCTTCACTGCTGAAATACTTTTTCTGCTAATTTGAACAGATGGAAAATATTTGCAATTTATTTTCTCAGCCAAACAAGTCATTTTCTTGGCACTATGACATTGCAAAATTTATGGTTATTGTTTTATCAGCGTTTAATGTAAGTTTGTTTGTTTTAATCATTCCGCTGCTTTGTTAAATGCACAGTTTTGATCTGCGTACATGTCCTAATTCCTGTGTCATCTGCGTATATTGTGAATTTTGGGTAAATTCCTGATTTTATTTGATATCTATAATGAAAATTATGAATAACAGTGGGTCAAGAGTATATCATTGAGTACCACCGAAGCGCACTGCCATTAGTTTTGAGTTTGCGTGTTTAGTTGCTGTAAATTGCTTGCTATGACCCAAATATAATTTTTACAACTGACCAATTGGACCTCGTAGTCCAATTGATTCGCATTTTTTACAACAAGATAGACTGATGTACTGTGTTGATGCATTTTTTTCAGTTCTGTGAATAGGCATTGTGTGTGTCATTTTCGTTTGTTTATGAAGAGTGTGTCTTTTACTATTGATAAGTGAAACGATTGCGTCAACTGCTCCTTGGCGTGGCCAAACACTAAACTGATTTTTGTTAATCATGTCGAAGTGATAAACATATGATATCATGCAGTTATTTTGAAGTCTTTTCAAAAACTTACCTATGAGTGGCAGCAAGGCTATCGGTCGGAATTTTCCTAATATTGGTGCGACAGCGCATCTATCAATTTGCAGAAAATGGTTACCCAAATTATTAAATTCTACATCCGTTTTTTTTATAGATTCTAATATTTTGAAAATTTCTTCTTGGAGAATCGGTATCAGCTACATTGAATATATGTTTTGTTTCAGTCGTTGAAAGGAATTCATTGAAACGCTTCAAATTTTAGTTCGGAAGTTTCAATGGACAATTTAGTCTCAATGGACAATTTTTTTTACTTTTGATAACTAAAAGTTTTTCATTTCATGTTTTACTTATTTTTAAAAAAAAAATTTACCCTTTTTTTCAATACTTTTCTCTGTCCATAGATTTGTCACTACTATTATGAATTTGCTTGAGACGATTTTTTTTAGCGGCAGCATTTTTAACTTGTTATTCATGCAGATTTAAAGTTCTTTTCTAATTCTTGATTGTTTCTAATAAACTGGAACAAAATTATGAAGAGTTTCTACAAGAAGGCTTTGCAGCTTTTCAAAAACGTTTTCAATGTTTTTAAACGACAATTTCTATATTTTTTGTTATTTCATCATGATTCGCGTCGTTTATCTGCTTAATAAATTTTGAATTTTTTTTAGTTTCAGCCACTTTCTGGACGCTAGTAGCTCTCGCTCTGAATGGGACCACCGTTCGTAAGTTACATTGCGTGATGACCAGTTAAAGACGATTTTGAAATTTCTATATATTTCTGGCATGACTGTTATAGAAAATAATCTCAACAAATTTTTGATTTGTTGGTTTCTTTCGTAGGTTTGTCTAAATTCAGCAAAAACTATTTCCCGGAAAAATGCTTGTCAATTCAGCCAATTTTTTGATTTTCAAGCTACAATAATTTTAAAATCACCACATGCTAGGGGTGTTTTGTTGTTGACATCAGCATGAGATATTCCAGATGTATCTGCAATGTTTCTAAATTGGTTTTGTTTCGTTTATGTGGATGGAATGTAAATTTCCGTTAATTGTATTAGGGCAATGGTTAAAACTTGAATGTTATTACCTGTTACCTTCCCCTAAATATTATAGAAACTGACAATGAAAATTCAATATAGTCGATTATTCTCCAAAAAACTCCAGTGCGATTAAAAGAACATAAAAATTTCATTTGAGAAATTCAAATAGCTTTTTGATTGCTTTACGTACTTTCAATGGCTGAAATGAAACATAAATGTATGTAAGCCCCCGGTGAAAAAAATCCCATGTCATTTCATCAAAAATCCTTTGACCTTCCCATATGAACATACCTTTTCGCAAATGAAACAATTTTGTAAATAAGTTTTGTTCCAAATTATTGGTTGCATTTAATTACAATAGCGCAATGAAGCTTCTAGTTTTTGCAGAATGAGCAGAAATTCAAGTCATTGTTGCTTCTCTATTATAATATGTACATATGTTGATCGATTGTAAGAGAAGGAGGCTCTATGGCTGTGCTGGGGAAAAGTGCAGATGGAAATTGGACGCATCCTTGTGTGTGGAGATCGTTCCACTTCCAGTTAGCAACTGGTCACTTCCAGTCAGTCCACAGAGTGTTCCACATTCTATCTCATTTGCTGGCACCATTTGATTGCCCATCATCAGAAGCGATCTGTGAATGAACAAATCAAAATAGAGTTACGTTGCTCACGTTTTTAAACGCAAAATTAAGTACCATCTTAGTTCTTTTGGACTGGAAATCTTGCTACAATCTCACAAGAACAAAGTTAAATTTTAACGTAATGTCTTGCATGACTTCTCGCACGAAAATTTGCAAGATAAACAACTCAAGATAACTAAGGCGAGCTGAATGCTTATGAGATCGTCGAACAGCGTCGAAAGAAAATTTTCCCAGTGTAGAGAAAAAAGGTATCAAATTCTCGCTTTTAAGACTTTTTATTCGAGACCTGTTTATCGCGATAGCGCATATCAGTCAATTGTCAATCTGAATTATGGAGCTGAATCTTAATTTGAATCTTGCAAACTTGTAAAACATTTACCCCTTCTGAAAAAATGGGGGAAGTTGAAAGCTCAGTTTTTGTATATGCTTAATCATTGGATCAGCGCATTATAGGATTGGATGTGCAACGCTAGGAATCATATGGTGAAAATGGTTAGAAGTGTTAATAAACTTGTTATAGAAGTTTGACTACTTAAGCTAACTTTTTTTAGTTGGATACAAAAATAATGAGCAGCTGTGAATTCTTTTGCAAAGTGAGCGATGACGAAGTTGCTAAGTATCCGCCTCTCAATCGAAAAGAGAGGATTTTAGGCCCACCATAATGTGTGTTTATTGCGTGAATGCGAGGCAACACTACCCAGCCCAGAAGAACAATAACTAAACAAATTGCATGTATAACCAGAGGGACAACAACGGTTCTCCATTAACAGCTGATCAGCTCGAAAGTTAGTCTTTTCTCTCGTGGAGAATTTGTCTCAAATTAAAATTTAAAAATCATATATAGATTGTATTTCACTAAAATACAAACCCTTCAATTGACTTCATGGGAACATCAGCCTGAGTTTCCCGGTCGAAATCAGGCCCCATTATTTTGACCATTGTCGCCCCTCCTGCAACTACTGTGCCCGAAAAGACGCGGCCGAATGCGACGAAGCTGCGCTTGTCGGCTGTCGGTATCATCCTGCTGACGAACACCATCAGTTCACCAGTCGGGTCACAGTTTTTGATGGCCTCGGCACATGGGTCGTTTTTGTCAGGACCTTAGATATTTTATTGAGGAGAGAGTTATGCATGTACCATGAGTTAATGAATTAATCATTACATTACCTTAATCATTTAAAGTATTTTTTTTTGAAAACAGATGCGCAGTCAACAGCTCCAAACCCCACTCAAGCTCGCAAGCAATTTCCGACATTTTTTCATCCACACTTCTAGATAGCAAATCTTTCTTTAAAATAACGGAAATTTTCCCCAAAATTATCCGCGGTTTAATCAAAACTTTGTCCAAACAGTTGTTGCGAACTTAAGGGCGCAAATTGTTTTTTTTCTTTGTTGAAACTCTCTAGAAATTCATCAAAGAGGGTATTTTTCTCATCAAATTTTCTATGAGTTTGAAAAATGGTAACGAAATGGAGACAATTTTTGGACCTTCAGGAGTTTTCAGCCCATCAAAATGGCTTTATCAGGAAAATGATTCAAATTTTCTAAAATCGATTGCGGATTATTCGGTGCTCTGTGCTTGAGCACGGGCCGTATAGTTTCCACTTTACTCCTAAACTAAAATGTTTCGCATTTATTTGGATCGATATGAAAGAGAGATATTTGCTAAAAAGGCATGTTTGCTGTTAACTCGAGCACGCAACCTTCAGGCGGGCATCGCTTGAATCTGATTTTATTGAGCTGGTTATAATTGTTTACCGTTGTATATGATCTCCGTGCGGTATTTCTGGGCCAAGACAGGCGAGGGTATATGAACTATGGTCATATCCAGAAGTGTGTCCTTTATGGGCAGCCATGAGGCCATGATTGCCGCAAAAGATCTTCGCCCTTTTTTGCCATCGTGCTTTCATCTAACTTCAGCTCCAGTTTCTCTAGCAACTTTTTTAGATCATCAAGATTGCTACTCTTGATGGCGTCGGCCATCTAAAATATAAACCGAGGGTGCATTTTGCATCCGGAATGGTTTGAAGTAATTGTATAACTAGTTTTTTTGAATCGAATTGTGGTTTCTGCAAATCGCAGAGAAGCTATCAGCAAGACTTATCGGCCATTTGTTTTTAAAAGTACTGTCACAAACGCAAACGAAATACAAAAGCGTTTCTATAAAATGCTGTTATATTTATTTGAGGTTCATTGAAAGAAGATATTAAGGCAAAACAAAAAACAAACTTTTTAACAGATATAAAACCATTTCGTTTTGTCAACATTCAGCCACTTTTTGTCTCTTGGGCTGAAGAACTGATCTCCCCACAACCTCTTCATTAATTTTGGTGAATCCACTTTAAATACAAAAATATTTGCTAGGAAGAAACAAGGATGGCCGTTTGCTGTGTAAGTAGTACAGAATGTTCCGACAATATTCATAAAAAATATTTCAAAAAAAAGTTATTTTTCTATGTATTAGTATTTTTTCAAAAATGGAACTAAAACTCAATAAGTTTAAGAATTTTTTCTCGATACCGGAAAAAATTTTAAATTCTTTGAAAAATTCCAATCACGACTGAAAGGGCTATAATATGATATATAACTCGACCCATTACAATGATAATTTGTGGTACCTGATTTTGCGTTAACAAAAAAAACTAAAAAGAGTTCGAGTACGGAATCCGGAGAAATTGTCATTGCAAAAAAACGAGAAGTACATGCAAATTTATATGAAATTTAGATACAAATTTAAACACAGCCAAAAAAATTGACTACTGCTGACGGCGTGTCTCAAAGTTCAAATTTTTTCCGCCATAGTTGTCTCTCACCATTCAAAATTGACTATTTTTGTTTGTAAGGAAAATTTTCAAAAAGTAAAGAATACTTGAGCCAGCTGTGATTTTTATCCTAACAAACCTCATCTTTCGAAATAACAGGTTTTGACCCCGCAATGATTTTGAACAACAAAGATATCAAAAATCTTGGGTTCAAAATTCTCAACATTTTATGAACGCAAGAGACAACATTTGCAAATTTATGGGGTTTAAACACTGTAAAATTCTTTGATCTGATTATTACGCAACCAATTTCCCGTTTGTTAATGCCCATAGCGCGAGAGCAGAGAAAAATCTTCATTGAAAAAAAAAATTTTATCGCAAAATTAAGTTATTGCCTTTGCTTTGTCACTAGCAATTTTTCTTAGAAAATGTAAATAATTTGCTGCTTTTTCCGACACTGACAACCAATATCAAGCAATTAGTACCTTGAAAGTACCTCAGTTTGACCATGCAGTGAATAAATGCAATCAATTGGCTTGTCTCATTTCGATTTGGAATGAATTTAGGAGCGAATTAGTTCGCCATTCTTTGATAACTACGCGATGAGCATCTTAATTGCGCGTTAGTTAATCCACATTGGCCAAAATGGCAGTTTTTGATTCACTAATAGTTTACTAAAAATATCTCAGGTGAAATATGTTTTGCCGTTCAAACTCAAAGAACTGATATCTTCAGAAAAATTAGAGAAAACGGCTAAAATTACTGTTTCAAACGCCGAAAAAGGCCAGAATCTCAAAACATAAATGTTTATTTGCTTTCTTGAATATTATCGTAATACAACTAAACGAGTTTTTTCTTTTTCTGCCCGAAACGGTTTATGAAGTAGTTTTTTGCAGGGGGAGGATCTAGGATTTTCTCAAGGGGGGGGCGGACTTTCTCGAGGGGGGGGGGGGGGGGGGGGGGCTTGCGGATTTTCTCGAGGGGGGAGGATCTGGGATTTTCTCGAGGGGGGGGGCGGATTTCTGCCCGTAACGCGGTTTATGAAGTAGTTTTTTGGAGGGGCTGATCTAGGATTTTCTCGAGGGGGGGGGGGGGGCGGATTTTCTCGAGGGGGGGCGGATCTAGGATTTTCTCGAGCGGTGGGGCGGATTTCTGCCCGTAACGGTTTATGAAGTAGTTTTTTGGAGGGGCGGATCTAGGATTTTCTCGAGGGGGGGGGGGGTCGGATTTTTTCGAGGGGGGGGGGGGTCAAAAGGCAAAACTTTGATAAACTGGACAAAAGGCGTTTTTAGGCACTTTTTGGAAAATTTTGACCAAAAAATCGCGTTTTTTTTTGGCGCGCGCTCCCCCCTCAAATTAGTATATATTGGCGCCCAAGGCGCCTTTAGAAATTTTTTAGGGTCCGTCACCAAATATGGATATCTCAAAATAGTACAAAGGGGGAGGGAACCTTTGGGTCGGCAGGGGGTCGAATCCCTGAGGTAGGGGGACGTCCGCCCCCGCCCTCCTAAATCCACCCCTGGTTTTTTGTTTAATATTTGATAAAATTAACAGAAAAAAACTACTTCGCTAATTTGATTTCTTTTTCAGATTTTTGTTCATAAAGTTATCGCTTTTACAAAATGTAAAGATAAGTGGTATATATAAAGTATGTAAAGTTGTATGTACATGTTAAATTTGCGAGTTAAAGTGACAAACATGGAAATGGCGCGGTTAACAGTTCCGGCCGCTCTTGAGTGAAAGGAACTATCGCGAAGGGTATTTTTTTTGCAATTCTGACTACCGCAAATTATACTTTTGAGGGGTTAAGTGTTGTATCATACTAAATCCCTTTTCATCCGTGACTGCGAATTTCATTAACGGCAAAAATTGGTCTGAATAATTTCGTTTTTGAGACCAAATTTCAATTTTATAAAAAATGTTTTCTAAATTATGGCTTCAAATTTTTTCCTAAAACATTTACTTAAGCTTTTTTCCTGCAATAATTATCCTGGTCGGAACATTTTGTGCCAATTGCACAGCAACGTTTTTTTTGCTTTTATTGAGACTCACTTTTAAATTTGGCACAATAGAGTTGCGCGAAGTGTTTGAGACTGAATGCCCATCCTTGCGTGCTACTTCCGAAGGCCACAGTTCCAATAGTCGGATCGACCTGTCGATTACGTTGTACAATTGCGGACGGTCTGACTTTGTATAAATTCCGCAAAAATTAATTAGCCAGAGACGTTCGTACACAATTGAAAACTGACCATTTTAGTCTAATGACGCTCTTTCTGGCTTGAGACTGGGTTATAAATGGTTCAAAAATTTAACATTTTTTCTTATTACGGGCCTTAAAAATAAATTATTATGTTAATATTAAAGCATTTGGTCAATTTTTAATGCAGGTTGCTGCTTGCATCGAGGTAAACTCTCTCTCAAAAACTAGCATTTTTTATTTTAAAGCATTGCAAAATTTTGCAACTCTCACTTAACTCAAGTAGCTTGCTGATAGACAACACTTACTGGCAAAGCAGAAAGAAATTTAGTTTTTTTTGTTCATTTACCCTTGAAACTCTCAAAGCCTAATTTGATGTACCTCTTAAATAACTTGAGAGTTCATGCTATTTTTGTCCGCTATTGGTGAAAATCACCTACCTGCCAATTACCATGCACTGCATCTTCGTCACAGTAAGTGGCAATTATTACGTTGATACTCTCGATAATCCGGTGGAAAGTTTGGTTCGCGTCTTCTTTGTCAAGGCTCATTTCCCAGACAACCCGATTCATGTAGTCAAGCAACACGACTGGTTTAACTTTCCGATAAATTGCTTCCCGTAAAAGCGCCTCTATCTTGGTATGTATACCTAAAAAAACGAGATTTAAAGAGAACAAACATTGCTGCTTTTTGAGAATGGGAAAAATTCAGGTTTCTGAGATCGTTCATCCACGAGTAAAAAAAGGCGTGCAAGCCACTTAACTCAACCAATTGGAAACCAATGGCGACTTCAGTGATTTCTGCCAGAGAAAAAATTGTCCAACCTCAACCGCAGTTTTCGAGTGAGGCAGTAGACACTTGCTTGCACAGAGCACCCATTGTTTTTAATTGATTATAATGGTTTTCCGAGAAAATAACAATCTATTTTTATACATTAGATAAAACCTTCAGACCACGAAATCGATTATATTGTCATTATAATCGATCATTTTCGAGAAAAAACTCCACCATGAATTGATTACAATCCATTATTTTTGGCACTAAAATCGATTAATTTTGTCTGGATAATCCATTAAAACCGAATTTTTCTGAAAACTAAAAACCCATTATAACCGCATAATAATCAATTGCAATCCATTTTCTTTTTTGTTGTTAAATAGGTTATTTTTGCAAATATTTTACTGGAAATTCGCAAGAAACTTTAACTTATGTCTGAAAAAAACAATTACGATGAAACTACCTTCAATTCCCCCGACGAACACCCCATTTAACCATTATCGAACCCCAACACCCTCCTCCTACCCCGTTGAAGATTCAAAAAGTGTAGTAATGAAAGTGTAAATTTCTAAGGCAACTGTATGATTCAAAAACCTAATCATACTGCACTTGGTTGTTTTAGCGTATGCCAGACGATAGCGATTGCAAGGTCACAGCAGCCGGTCCCCAGACAAAAAACCGAAGACTTACACAAACTTACATAAACTGAAACTGGTTCCTATATCAATTGGGCAACCACAAATAAATTTTAAATCCCAAGATTGAAAATTTATTGTACTCATAATATCAAGAAGTATTTGTTAACAGACAATTTTAGTTTCAAGTGAAAAAGTTTTAAGTACTGGATTGTATGAGTTTTTCGGTACACTTGCCGACACTCTCCCTGGGTCCTTTCTTATCTTTTGTTTTTCTCCTAATTGTACTCGACTCGATGGATCATAACCCCGCTCATCTTATCCACTCCTTTTCTTTTTCTTGTCGATCGACGCGTCGCCTCCTCAGAATTTTGCCTCTTTTCACCGACGGTTCTCGATAGGCCTGCTTGTTTCATGCCCGACGGTTCGTTCGCCTCGTTAACTTGAAATTCTCTGCTCGCCGCTTTTGAAACTCGTTGTGACGGCGCATTGGTCCCGTCTCTCGTTTGCACGTTCATTCTCGTCCTCCTCCTCGCTTTCTTCGTCGCTACTTTTTAATAACCGTTTTTTCTTCTTTTTGCTCTCTTCTCATTCCGTCTGCGTTCGTTTCATCATCTGTTTTCTCGTAATTTCAGTGTCCCTTACATTTTTTTCGGATCTTGCGGTTTACTTGGCCCTGGGATGTTCGCACTGTTTTCTTTGTCAAGGCTCATTTCCCAGACAACCCGATTCATGTAGTCAAGCAACACGACTGGTTTAACTTTCCGATAAATTGCTTCCCGTAAAAGCGCCTCTATCTTGGTATGTATACCTAAAAAAAACGAGATTTAAAGAGAACAAACATTGCTGCTTTTTGAGAATGGGAAAAATTCAGGTTTCTGAGATCGTTCATCCACGAGTAAAAAAAGGCGTGCAAGCCACTTAACTCAACCAATTGGAAACCAATGGCGACTTCAGTGATTTCTGCCAGAGAAAAACTTGTCCAACCTCAACCGCAGTTTTCGAGTGAGGCAGTAGACACTTGCTTGCACAGAGCACCCATTGTTTTTAATTGATTATAATGGTTTTCCGAGAAAATAACAATCTATTTTTATACATTAGATAAAACCTTCAGACCACGAAATCGATTATATTGTCATTATAATCGATCATTTTCGAGAAAAAACTCCACCATGAATTGATTACAATCCATTATTTTTGGCACTAAAATCGATTAATTTTGTCTGGATAATCCATTAAAACCGAATTTTTCTGAAAACTAAAAACCCATTATAACCGCATAATAATCAATTGCAATCCATTTTCTTTTTTGTTGTTAAATAGGTTATTTTTGCAAATATTTTACTGGAAATTCGCAAGAAACTTTAACTTATGTCTGAAAAAAACAATTACGATGAAACTACCTTCAATTCCCCCGACGAACACCCCATTTAACCATTATCGAACCCCAACACCCTCCTCCTACCCCGTTGAAGATTCAAAAAGTGTAGTAATGAAAGTGTAAATTTCTAAGGCAACTGTATGATTCAAAAACCTAATCATACTGCACTTGGTTGTTTTAGCGTATGCCAGACGATAGCGATTGCAAGGTCACAGCAGCCTGTCCCCAGACAGAAAACCGAAGACTTACACAAACTTACATAAACTGAAACTGGTTCCTATATCAATTGGGCAACCACAAATAAATTTTAAATCCCAAGATTGAAAATTTATTGTACTCATAATATCAAGAAGTATTTGTTAACAGACAATTTTAGTTTCAAGTGAAAAAGTTTTAAGTACTGGATTGTATGAGTTTTTCGGTACACTTGCCGACACTCTCCCTGGGTCCTTTCTTATCTTTTGTTTTTCTCCTAATTGTACTCGACTCGATGGATCATAACCCCGCTCCTCTTATCCACTCCTTTTCTTTTTCTTGTCGATCGACGCGTCGCCTCCTCAGAATTTTGCCTCTTTTCACCGACGGTTCTCGATAGGCCTGCTTGTTTCATGCCCGACGGTTCGTTCGCCTCGTTAACTTGAAATTCTCTGCTCGACGTTTTGAAACTCGTTGTGACGGCGCATTGGTCCCGTCTCTCGTTTGCACGTTCATTCTCGTCCTCCTCCTCGCTTTCTTCGTCGCTACTTTCTAATAACCGTTTTTTCTTCTTTTTGCTCTCTTCTCATTCCGTCTGCGTTCGTTTCATCGTCTGTTTTCTCGTAATTTCAGTGTCCCTTACATTTTTTTCGGATCTTGTGGTTTACTTGGCCCTGGGATGTTCGCACTGTTTCACCTTTCTATTCGGCTTTCTTCGCCCGCTGATCTTAAAGAAACCCCACTTCTCCTTAGTAATGATCCTTTTTTCATTTGCACCGTATGTGGTGTTAATTTTTCTATAGTTGAAGATAAACACTTATACCTCCTTGGGTCCTTTGGATCCGTTCCCCCGGTACGCTGGTATACCGCCGTAGTGCTCGCTTTGTGGCTTTTTAAGCACTCTGGTGCCGCAGGATGTGTGAGTTCCACGTCGGCTTCGGCTTGTTCGTGTTCTTCCAACACCCGAGGAGTTTTCCGGTTTTGGGGAGCATACACTAGGTCGCTTCGCTTCTCCCAATCTAAGTTGAGCTCTACTTCGGGAAGACAGTTTGTCTCATCTAAACATTGTAATTTGTGTTTAATTACATTCTTCCAATTGAGGTTTTTAAGTGATGGTTTTTTCGTTAGGTTCCGGAGGGCGGTATTAACTTCTATTCCATGGTAGGCCTCGAATGACGTTAATTTAGTCTTAGAATGCGGTAAGAAATGTAAAGCGCTTAATGCTCTTGCTATCATCATCTTGAATTTTTGATATTCATCTTCCCATAGATATGTTAGGACGTAATTTTTTTTATTGAAGCGATGGTTCTTTCGACCATCCCTGTTGCGCGATGATCTTTCACCGGAGATATTAAAAATTCGATACCTTCATAGTTACAAAAATTTAGGATTTCAATTGAAAAAAATCCGGACACTTGATCCAAATGTAGTTTCCTTGGGTGACCATGTGTACTTATATATTTCCTTAGAAATTTGAGTACATTTTTCGATTTTTTACTTCAGCAGACGTATGCCGACGGCCAATGTGAAAATGTATCTATTGCTACTAAGACGTATTTCTTCCGACCCTCTACATAATTTACCAGACCCTGAAATCCAATTGGTCTAAGTCTTTAGGTTTCTTGGGTTCATATGTTGTCCCAGTATTACCTTTATGGATGTCCGGTTTAAGGTTTTTACCTGCTTCTAAACAACTTTTGCATTACTTTGCTGTGGCCACGAGGTTCCGATGCATGAGCGGGATCCAGACGTCTTTCACCGCAAACATTTTGTCCCGACCGTGGTGATTGTGGTGTAGTCGGTTCAGTACTGATGTAGACATGTCCATCCACAAGCAATTCTCGCGCACTGCAAAGTCGTTATAATGTTGGGCGTAGCATTGTCCGAGCTTAGCGATTATTTCTTTTGCACGTGGATTCCTGTCCCGTATTGCGTCTTGAATAGTCTTCAGAATAGGATCTTTTTTTCCAAATATGCCTCCACGAGCTTCAAGGTAAGAATTTCAGGGTAATCGATCTTTTTGACTATCTTGCTTTCAGTTGGGATCATTGGATAAACTTATTTTTCACTATTTACAAGGGGATAAGACACGCCAGGGAATTGATGAGGGAATGAAATGACAGTATTTATTTTTTTCGAAGAATTTCGTTTAGGCACAACTTTTTCTGGTGGGATAATTTCTATGTCTGAATCTGAACTGAGGCTAGGCGGCTAATTTTGGACTCTGTTTAGTACGACATTTAAATTTACACTTCCGGACTCTGTAGGTGTATTTAAAATTGTATAATGTGGCTTAGGATCAATTTTTTTCAGCTGAATTGGTACTTGACATGATTTTGATTGCTTTATGATTTTGATTTAAAGCGTAACTGTACTCGGCGGAATGAGAACAACGTCTAATTCAATGGTTTCGTAAATTGTACTTTTCTTTCGGTTTGGAAATTTCTTGTCTCTGATTGAGTGACTGTCGGTTGCGTGCAACCACGCCCTCTAGTGAGCGCTTACACTCACTGTTAGTATTTGCATATTCGAATTTATCTTGAGTCGTATTGGATGATACTATCTCGTTTGAGTAAGAACATGATCCATGATCGTACATCCTCTACCGTCGATTTTTTCAAT